TTTTAAAAATACGATGTTTTGTTTTGCAAATAAAATCGCTTTATCTCTCGTTTAAGTAATCACGGTACAGAATTGAAAGCTAGAAGCGCAATTATCTCTATCTATAAAAGGCAGGATGTGTGTGTGTGTGTGTGTGTGTGTGTGTGTGTGTGTGTGTGCGTGCGTAACGAATGCACGGCCGCAATTTTCGACGGATTTGCACCAAAATTTACATGCACATGCTCCAAGTTAGCGAGAACGCCAAGACCGACTTTGCATTTTCCCAACTCCCATCGATAGTCGAAATAATCGATTTTTTTCATGATTCTATGGCACTTTTCATGTAGTTTGCGGCCATTTTCTACTGGCCAGAGAGAGAGCCAATAGCTGGCTGCCAGGAATAAGCAGGAAGATTCTATTGGCCAGCATGAGAGCCAACAGCTGACTGACACGAATGTTAACTAGCATGCTAGCATGCAAAAAATATCGATAGCTGCATTCGTCACAAGTGGGAAAAAATTAAATCTGCATGGCACTTTACTCCAGTTGGCTTATTCGCTTGCTTAAACTCAACGTTGATTCTGATTCCGCAGAACTGGTTTAGGTATGAAAAAGTATTTGTTGTTAACATTCTTTTTTCATTCGGTTTTTCCAGCTACGAGTCCTTTTTTAAAGCTGATCGTTTTGTGTTCATTTTGTTAAGTTCTTTTTTCGTAACAGATTGAATGTTTGATATAGAGCCTAGAAAAAATTTGCAGTGTGAGATAGACAAGAAGTAAGGCATGTAGCAACATCAGCACGGCAAAGGGCACTCCTTTAAAGGCAAGGAAGGGGAAAATATTTTAAGTCAAGTGATAGCAATTGTATAAGTGGTACGATTTTTGAATCAAGCACGGGCAACGCCGGGCCATGCTGCAATTAGAATAATATGATAGAACAGAAATCCCGACATGAGTGGAAACAACATCAACTTGATTTAAGAAACCTGTTTTCCTAATAAAAATGTTTTAAGAGAAATATTTTATAAATTTCAACCGATAAAACGTACTAGCTGCTCAGTCAAGGAATGCCAAATGTGTCCTTGTAGAGAAACGGCTCATATTACAATTACTATTGCTAATCGATAAATTGAGAACAAAAAACACGTACTATAGCTTAAGATATCGTGATTTTTTTGTTTGCAAATGAAGTCACTTTTATCTATCGTGTAAGTAATTACACCTTTGTGCAAATTAATTGAAACAAAAAAAATAATTTCTTTATTTTCTACTTTTTTCATATTTTTCCAATGAAACATGACCCAGTGCACATGTTAGTACTTCGTATGTCCATACCACAAAGTCGTTCCTTGCAGATTGACCACAGATTCTCGACTGGATTTAAATCAGGAGAGTTTCCGGGACAGTGTTTGATTTGCTCACTAGTAACGATTGCCAGTGCTTTCATGTAGCGTTACAATTTTTGTATGCTTTCTTGGAGCAACGTCCATCGCAGACCATGGCCGTAGGACAACTAATCGACAGTCGAGACAATAGTGTCTGAGCGTGACAAAAACCTGATGCAATCACGGATGACACAATATTTTTCAAGGCCAAACAAATTTCATCATACACCCCGAAACCAAATTCATATTACTGCACACCGAAGCAAATGACCTAATCTGAGAAGAAAAATAGAATTCGATTACACCCTGTCACTCCAGTGGGTCTAAAACTGCCCGAATGATGAAAGAAAGGAAACTAAAGTAGTTCTTTCAAATAATTTGCACAAGGGTGTAAATGTTCAAGGCGTGGTTATAAAATAAATATATTCTTTACGTACGGCTAGAGGAATTCATCGGTGATGCCAGCCTCATGTAAAGTGTTAGTCGATTATTGTTTTGTGAGAAAAATATATAATCGCTATTGTTTGAGGTTCTTCTGTCTGATTGTTTTTGCCAACAATAGCATTTGACTAAGATACATCAACTTAACGGTGTCGACTTCGTCATCTCCTTCATAACACTCCATAAAAAGTTGCAAACCGTTGCTAGCTTCGTTAATGGCGACTGCGGGAGGTGTCGTTATCCGACTTTGCTTCTCAATTTCGTGTTTAAATTATGTCAACACTATTTAAAGTGGCTGTCTGTCATCAACCTAAACGATCATCTGTTTTTTTTTTTCTTCTTCTTCTTTACCTACAAGGGAGTAAAAACACAAGAATAAGCTACATTATTTGTAATAGAAGAAACTAAAGTCAGGACATGACAGTCAAAAAATCAGGTCCTTGATATTTTTTTTTTTTCGGATAATCCAAAATTCGGATAATTCAAAATTCAGATAATCCAAAATTCGGATAATCGTTTTCCGGATAACCGACCTTCTATCGTATTAAAATATAAGCATAAACACGCGCGCGCGCACACACACACACACACACGAAAAATCTCCTTTCACAGAGTCGAATCATCCTCATTTCCCCCGTTTTCGAAATATAATAAATTCCACACTTACAGCTTTTTTTTTCTAAAAAAGCATTACCA